CAAACCAGATACAGTAAATGTTCTGGCTTTCCCTTCCCATCTCCTACTGTCACTAGCCAATCCTAACTTTTACTAATGATGGTTAGGTTACCTCACTTACAATATAGCAAGCTCCTCTCTTGACACCTTTCCCAGCCTGGGCCTGTTGCAAGGCTGCTACCACTGCTTGAACACTTGTTGGGTCTCTGGCACATTCATTTGGTGTATTCGGTGGCTCAAGAACTGAAGCTACAGATCTGATGTCGGGCATTCTGAGGATAGCAATTTTTTTTAAAAAGGATAACTTAACTATCTCAGTTAGCTAAAACAGGATAATTCAACTACTTTAATAATCAAAAAATCATCTTGGCTTTATGTGGATATACAATTCTTAAGGGGGGGGGGGGTCAACATCACATAAACAACAAACAGAGCACAGTACAAATACTAGGATGGCTATCTAACCTTGGTGTTGCTGAAGACAAGAAATCAGAAGAAAGTGAAGATGTAAAAGTGGCTGTGGATCGGCCAAGAGGGAGAAGCGGGGAGGTAGGTGGTCTTCTTGGACTGAGGACTGCCTTTGTGCGCCCTCCAAGGCGCACATTTGGCAGCACACCTGCTCGAACATATCTTTCTTGAGCTGATGAAAATATACCATGATAAATATTTACTTCATATACTACTGAATATAATGTATTTTGAACTAGTATAATTAACTTAAATATATACATGTCATAAATTTTGGCTACAGGGGATAAAAGATCTCATAAAGAGGTACATACCTGTTGGATATTGTCTGCGGTTCTCTCCTGGACTTCTTCCATTATGTGCTTGTGCTTCCCTAACTACTCTGCTTGCAAAACCTGGACTTAAAACTTCTGCAGCAAAACTGGAAAAGAATATATAAGGACAAATGAGCAATTTATGTTTCAAGTTAAGGTGGTATAAGCTCTACAGGGTATCAATATCAAATAGTGATAATAATGCATATAATATAATAATACAATAAGACTAAATTGTAGCATTCTAACAAACATTTTAAGAAGGCATGCCTAAAATTTCTATAGATCTCATATGATTTTTTTAATCTCTTGAATGGTTTAACCCCTAACAATTGCAAAACCTGATGCTATCAGTCTCTCCAGCTTCAAGAATGGCATAATTTTTCATATTTCACTAAAGCACATTTTGATTGCAGGCATTTGAGGAGCTTACAAACCAGAAATGTTTACTTCATCACTGTTGAGTTGAAAAGGTTTACCCTTGTGTACAAACGAAAACGGCAGAATATCATGAATGTGTACAGAACGTATAAAGCAATTTTGTTTATTTAAAAGTATTTCTAAATATCTAGACAAATAAATAAAAGACAATAATTCACCAAAAGATAACTGCAATATGTAATAGTATTGTCTGTGGAGTGGGGGGGAAAAGATCTAGGGTTTGGCTGGATGATATATGAAATATGAAATATAGCACCTGGTTTACTACCTCACACTACTGGTTCTGCTTTTTCTTCTGATGGCTAATGTAATCTTCGCAATATGATAAAACTATATATGACTACCGTAAAAACATCAATGAAATGGAGCAAGGTAAGCTGTGACACGTCATGTGCTGTCCTGCCTCCTCTGAAATAAAACTTATCTATACTATGAAATGGCCAACAAAAATGCCTGTCCAGGGATCAAGCTAGCAAATCTAGGCTACTCCTATTTGCAAAAGTTAATATGCATTTTTTTTTTAACTCCTTACATATATGAAACAAGACACACATGGGAAATTAAACAAAAACTCCTTCCTTATATTTGTCTAGATCAGGGGCTCTCAATCTGTGTGTAATGATTATATACTCAATGAGTATGCCGTATAAAAACTTTGCAGGTATGTATCTCTTTCTGCCATTCTGGCATGAAATTTAGAAAAAAGGTTGTAGTTAGCCAAAGTTAATCTAACCAACAGCTTTCCATCAACTAAAGCTTTAGATATGGATGGCATGATATATGTTGGCTGTGGTGGACATACACTGTGCTATCACCTCTTTGGGCGAAGCGTGTCTTTCTCCAATTGGAGTGACAGCTTTTGTTTGGTGTCACTATTAGACACCAGTAATGCACTTAAAGTGCATAACTGGCTACTAGCCAATTTTTAATGCTGCAATTAATGAGTTTAAAGTTTTCTTTTGAAGTAATGTAAGATAGAATGTACAATTAGGCCAACATAACAAATGTATACATGTAATACATTCATATTCATATGCTAATAGGTGAAAGAGCTGGTGTGTTTCAAAAGTCTAGATAAATATTCTTAGTGTATTTCTAAACTGCAAAGGTAAAAAACCATTCATCTATTCAAATTCTAGGAAATGGGTTAGAAGAGAAATATGATTCTCAAAAGAAAATAAAAAAAAAAAAACTGCATTTGGGAGATCACACAGTTTGAAGGATGCCTTTGCTCTGAACCAGCCGTATAGTGGCATTTGGCAAAGAAACAAAGATATTGCAGAATACGAGAGAACGAAAGAAAGAGAAGCATCAATAAGTAGCACAGCATTGCAGACCTCTAGGATGGGTAGTAGAACAAAGAAGGGGGAGACCCATTCTACCCTCTGGTTTATTCCCATCCACAGTCTGATGCTGCTGCTGTTTCTGCCAATTTTCCTAAGCATTTGTATGAAGAAATCTACCTTCACATGCACCCAACACAGAAATTTACTCTGAAAACCTACCACCAAATAGTTAAATATGTAAATGATATATAACAACTAGTACCTAAAAATTTACCTTAAGTTGCTTACATAATGCATCTGGAAAAATAGCAAAGAAAAATAAAATTGCCCCCTTTTTCTAAACAGGATTTACATTCACATTAAAACTCTAACTTCTTTTTCAATGTGTTCAACATAGTGAGCTATACATTTAACTTCAAAATTGAACAGGCTATTCCCATTAAAATATAACTTTGCCTACGTAGTTATGCAAATATTTCTTTCCAAAATAACTTTTTTCAAGCAGGTTTCTTGCCCTTACGAACTTTTTACACATTACCGTTGTGACTTTTCTTACAGTCCTTCTCTTCATTGGACATGAAGAACAAATTTGCAACTTTATGAATAATTTACAATGGGATTTTTTCACAATAGATGAATAAGGCATGTATGAAAATAAATTAATCTAAAAAATAATTTACAATGAAACAATAGAATGTGCATAATCATATACGAGTCAATGTAGGAAAAAGGGAGGAAAAAGAAATTAAAATGGACAAAACATGTCTAATAACTCATATTCTCTTTGAAGGGAGACTATTTTTTAGAATTTTCAACTGTGATACACAAATCTAATACAGCCTAGCTGTTTAACAATACCTAATGGGTATGGGTGTTTTCTGGTACATGACATAAGTAACTATGAAATATAGAAAATATTATGCTAGCTAAAAATAAAGAAGAAATTGACGAAAAACAAAACTAAACAGGCCTACAAGTATACGGATCTATGTATAGCTCCTATCACATGTGCCTTTCAACTGAAAACTATATTTATAAACTGACCATTTCTTTACCCTAATCATTTACCACTTGGAAAGGCCAATGTATACATTGTAACTTATTATGTTGTGAACAGTCATATATAAAATAGCAGTTAACTAATGACAGCAGATCTAAACACATATCAACAGAAAATTAATGGGTATTTTGTATTTTCTGAATTACCTTGTCATGTATCAGTGAATATATAAAGTACTAGGTTTGCATTAAAATATAAGTGAGTAAGGAATAATGTAAAATTTGGTTATTTCTAGAGATAAAAAATGTAGCTAGTTATCTAAAATCAAATCCTGTTTTAGATAACTTCCTATAAGACTGGAAAGATATAACTGAGCTTTGGTTATAGAGGGGAGAGATTTCTTACCTGAGAGGCAAGACATGCAGTGCCCCTCCATTGCTGCACTGGTTTGCAATGGAGTTTGGAATACAAATAGCTAACATTTAGACTTTAAATATACGGATCTGATGTACTACCACAAGCTGAGATTTTTTTGTTGAAAAGAAAAGTTACATTTCTTAAAGAAACAAAAGAGAAGAAAACTGTATATTCAATCAAATATGAATGAAATATACGTAATGAGTCTATATTTTACCCGTGACAGAATATACTTAGTCTATGTAATAAGTTTGAGACATCATATTGATTCTCTTGTGGATGGGCTAACCCTGAAGAAAATTTACAATGTTTAATGTTTGAAACAAATAAATGGGCTAGGCATCAAAGGTTATATAGCACTATGATAAAGTATTGTGTTGAAAAGGGCAAAGAGGAGTTAAAGATTTATAGTTAAAGATTAGAGAACATTAAAGGATAGTATAAGAATGAAAAGAGAAACCTGAGAAGAAAGTGAAGCAGAGGAAAGATTAGTAGAAAGGGGAGGATTAAGAGGGTAGGGCAATTGAGTGAAATGCTTTGTATCTGTCACTGAAGAAGGAATAGGAACAATGTTCAAGGAAAACAGTAAATAAAAAAAGTCTTAAGCTTCATATACAAAAATTTTACCAAATATAATTACAGTCCCTTGTTTCAGATATTTTCACTACCTCTAAAAACATTTTCTAGTGGTAAGAAAAATTAGTTTAGTCACATACTGACCCATTCTTTCCTCCCACTAAAAGAGTTAGAATCCTGTCACAATAAAAACTTACAATACCCTACTTTGGACCCCCCAGTGTGTAGCAAGAGAGGATGGAACCCATTTCCCATGATACTTTTTATTCAATGGCTCAGTGGGCTGAGGCGCTCATGTACTGATATAAGCAGTATTTAGGAGTTTGATGTTCTCTCGGTTAATCTCTACAGTAAAGATCCACAAAGTTCAAGCAAATTGAATATGATATTCATGTAGAGGGCAAAAAGTTGTAGTCACTGGTAGAAGAAATAATCTGCACACACAAATGATACTGCCAAAAATGAAGGCAGAAGATCGCGGAAGCAGTGCTCCCGAGTTTCGGCTCTATCTTGCTGTGCATACAAAGAGAAGACAATGTTTTCCAGGGGATGTTGGAGGGCAGAGCACTGCTATTGAGAACTGCAGTGTATGTCAATACATATCTAATTTCCAGCCACCGAAACAGGTTGATGCCATTGCACTTCCAGGAAATGTTAAATGTTGATTTATCTCCCGTACTCATTCATGCATAATGGCTGACGCAATCCAAGTTAAAGCAAAACAACTATACACTGTGCTCATGCATGACAATACATTTATAGCGACTAAAACATAAATAAAATAGGTGCATGTGCAGCTGATAAAGCACTCCAAGGGACTGTTGGGCAAGGAAAAGAAGCTAGAAAGAAGCAGACTAAATTTTTAAAAATTGCATCATATCAAACATCATATGACATTCCCTGCTCATCCTCTTCAATCACTCCTGATTCCTTCACTAGATACCTAGTTGAAAATGGAGTCAATATGGCTGATGTAAAAAGTCATTAACCTCTCTCATTAACCTGTTCACATCTTAACCTTAGTTCCCGTTACATCTGCCGCACACTGGCAGCAACCCTAGTTAGTCATTACATGTTCTATAGTAACTCACACATTACGTAATGGTGTGCTCACTAAACTATATGGACATCCAGGTAAATAGTAAACATATACCAGCATAGATCAGAGCTTACAATTCCTGGACTTGCCCACAAGCTGATTTTGAAGCTGCCCAGAAAATATTATTTTTGGCTTGAAAATGTATCATCGCTAGTGGGCTAATATTAATTACAAAAATGAGCTGTAGATGTGAATAGTAAAGCCACAAATAAAGGAAAAAGATCATGGAAAGCACAGCCTAAATCCACTTTCAGCTTCATCTTGCCATGCATACCAAGGTGAATACAATGTCTGCTGGGGGGTGTTGGGGAACAGAACCCCCATTAACCTCCCCTCAAACAGTATGCCCAGTCAAGGAATTTAGATTGTTAAATAAAGTTTGTGATGCAGAGTAGAATTGGGGACTTGGTCTCTGGCAAGTGCATCTGTACTGTAGAGAATTACAAATAATGCTTTTCCAAAACTTAACCAAAGGAAAATCTGTACTATATGGATGGACTATTGACAAAATTGACTAATCCATGCCTGACAAAAGAAAGTATGACATTGGCAGAGTGACTGAGGGCTAGTGGGTTTACGGCGGGGTGTGCTGGGAAACTCATAATTTATTTTTTTATTCTGGTGCCCTCAAGGAATGCTGAGACCCTCTTACAAATGATCAAGGACCGTGTAGAGGCAAGAACAACAATAATCAGTGACTGCTGGAAGGCATATAATTGCCTAACTAAAGAGGGATTTCATCACCTGACTGTAAATCATTCACTCAATTTTGTCGATCCCATCATTGCAGCGCACACCAACACCATTGAGCGCAAGTGGCAGGAACCAAAGGCAAAGGTACCTTACTACGGCACGAGGAAGTACCATTTTGTTCGGTATTTGGCTCAGGCGATATTCTTAAGGAACATCCCTGACGCGAATCAACACTTACATCGCTTCCTCCTCGCCGCTACTAATTTGTACCTGCTGGAGTAAGGTACGTTGTCCTATAGTTTACTTCTTACATTGCATATCCTTTTCAGTATATTATTCATGTTTTACTCCACAATTTCCCTAATATCTTTCATGCCCATCCCTAATATTAGGACCAAGACCGTCACTAATTGGGGTCTCTGCAGAATAAAATTTTTGATATATTTGGATTTTCCATTACATGTTGAACAACTTTCTTATTATTAACTAACAAAGGGGGTAAAATAGATGAATAGTGTCTTATTTCATGTTACTCTTTTCTTTACAAGCAAAGTTTACCTTATACCACAAAGCTATGTAAAATAAACTATACCCTTTCCACACATACTCACAATATAAAAACAGTCAGTGTTACGCATACACCAGCCATATCCAATTTCTCACAGTTCAGGGTATATCACACACATGCAAAGCGCTTTAACGTTATTTCCGGGTAATAAGTAAGAATCTAACCTAACCTAATTGAAAGTATCATCTTTTCGTGTCTAGACCACTGCCACCTTGTTTATTTCACCACACATGTGCAGAACACCAATTAAGGTTTTTCTGCCATACTCGTAGTCACTTTCTAGAAAAAAAAGTCTGATAAACTGAATCTCAATCAAGTGATTTTAAAATAGCACATACCTCAAGTCATTCCATGGCACATTCTGCTTGGTTGATGAGGACACAGGAGAAGCTGCAACGCCATTGCCCATTGACAACCTCTGGGGTAGGACAGAACCCTGCGTGGAGGCTGGACGGGGGGTTAGCGTGCGACCCCAAGGAGATCCCCCAGCACCAACCACAGCTGCAGAGGATGTTGAAGAGGAAGAATACTGCCCATTGACGAGGGCACTGGGTGAGTTCTCCTTAGAAGAGTCTCCATCACTGTTGTTATCTACCCCCAAGAAATCACATGCTGATCGGAACATGTCTGGGAAGGCGTGTTTAAAAGGCCCAAGGGAT